TTTTTGACAGCTCATGAATAAAGCCATTCATGAAGTATCAAAGTTAAGAGTCATTCTCTGTAATGACCCTGAACTTTTATATAGGAGATGTGGCACGCATAGTCTCAGAACTTCCGCAAACTCTCTATGATAAAAGTCTTTGATACCGTAAAATCAAATAAGGCAAAAATTGGTTGCTACGTGTCATGGTTACCATAGCAACATGTCCTAAAGTTTGAAAAATGGCATTTTTCAACATGTTCAGAGTCCCTCAGTGAACGTTTGCAGCAAAGCAAACAAGTGGCAATGACTGTTTCTGAAAGTTGATGGTCTGGTATCTTAAATGCATGATAAACATGTTTGGTAAATCAACTATTACCTACGTTACTATGGAAACAATGTATTTTGTTCATTTAATTTAAGTCATATACACTTAAGAATAAAAGCAGTTATAGGTTGAAATACAAGCAAATAATAGACAATAGATCCTTGTAATACATACCAAGGACGAAATGTGATATTTCTTATAGGTTGGCAATGGTTGCCATGGTTTTAATACCACGAAGGTATTTTAAATTTACTCTTTTAGTGTTTTAATCTAATCCTATATTAAGCATATTTCTCTTTGACTGATAATCAATTTTTAAAGGCGTTGGTGTGACCCTAATTTTCACATTTCAAAAAATTCAAATTCAATTCTTTAAATAGAGCGTTGCTATGGGAATAAGGCGAAAAAACATGCACAAAAATCTGAAAAAGTTCTGTTTCCTTCGATACGTACCCTTGTATGTAGATTCCCAAAACCTTAATGATTGATATATATGAACAACTAACCTGACTTTCAATTCTGACTACCACCCAGTCTCTAACTCGGTGCAAAAAGCTGGCACATAGGGTTTAATATTGACATAAAATTAACAAAATCGAACATTTTCTCTTCTTGGTAACCATAGCAGCAGTGTTGCATTTTTCAACAAACTTTATCAATATATGATATTCAACTTTAGTTCTAACAGATAAGTACTATTTAAGGTGAGTCAAATAATATATTTCTTGATTAAAAGGTAAGTAAATTCCTAAAGCAGCAAAAAATATCACTTTAAACAACTAGTACGTTGTTTCCATGGTTACACTGCAAAGAAACAATAAATCCCAATTTCTTATGTTGTCGGTGTTGCAAGATCCTAAGGATGTATATGTGCCAGTGATGAATTTTATTGTTTTTCCTGAAGATAGCAGCATTAACCCAATCATAGCAACATATTTGCATGGTAACACTGTGTTACCATGGCAACTATGAAAGTTATTTTTAGAATAATATTACCAATACCTGATTGCTTAAGGTCAAATATTTTTTTATTGTTTTTCTTAAGTTGTTGATTGAGTTTGATCATGTAACATCTATCATTTGTGAATATTGAGCGTTTTTCAGCATTTTTCAGCATCTAAAATGTATTCCAAATAAATGTACCCATGGTTACCACTTACTTGGCGATAAATTTTAATTTGTTTCTTTATAGCATAAGTGGCAACAAGGTGTCATGTTTTGGGAGAATGGTTTGTTTGTTTTTCTTAGTCTTTATTAAGGCTTAATAAAGATTCAAAGTAGCAGAAAATCTAAATTTTTTAAACTTTTCTGGCTGTTACCATTGCAACCAAGAAACATAGCAACGAAATTATGTATTACACAAATATATTTATGGATACCTGATATGGCGTGCTCTGTTTGACGCAAATGAAAACGCAAGGTTGGAATTGAATGGTCATATATTAATAAATAAATGATGAAGCAATCAAAATATGTCAACACATAGTATAACTGAGAATACCAAACAAAATTAAACACATTAGGTATTAGAAAGAAACGTACATAGGGCACCATCCGCTTTGTTTTGCTTTATCGTATGAAATATTTTTATCGGCACACACACAGGCGAAACGTCACGACTTTGAAGTGGTCAAATTCACTATAAAAACAAAGGTCTAACAATTGGTACGAAATAAGTTTAGCCAAAATACGACTCAAATGATTAGCTATACCTTTAAACAGGGTCATTATAACGAGCATAGAAGTTACGAAATGCTAACTTTAAACGAGGTTGTTGAAATCCTTTTAACATCAACTTTTCAGTGAGTAGTACATCTCACTTTCAAAATTGATCAATTGAGCAAGGTCTTGAGAAGCGAATAAGTTGGAAAAGATAAACACCATAAGCAGATGATAGTTGAATATTACTACATACAGATGGAGAATTGATGATAGAAATGTTGAAGTAATCCTCTTTGTCATACAATTCAGTTGTTAGTTGGCCCTTATCGTCTACAGTCAGCGAAATATCCAAAAACTAAATTCCACTGTAGATGAGACAAACTCTGTTGTGTCTTTTTTCCCAAGTGCACTGGGATATATCGAGTCAACATATGAATGAAAATAACTTTTGTTAATTGATAAAACATCGCAGATATATCTGAATGTGGAATTGAAGTCCACAGTAAGTGTTTCCTTTTTCTGATGTAGCGTTTTTTTTTTTAATAAATAATGCTTCATGGGAATATAAAAAGAGATAAGGTAATTAATAAGCACAATTAGTGTTCATCGGAATTCCAACAGTTTGTTCGAACACTTGGTCTCTAAAGACTACATAAATGTGGTAAACGAGGAACCCCGGCATCCTTTTAGTATCAACTTCAGAGTACTTGTGTGTACAACCAGAGTGGTTTTTAAAGAAGTAATCTAATTTAACTGATGACCAATCACAAGATGTAAAAATCCCCGAGTCCCCTTTCATTGAAGAAACAGCTCTCTGTAATATCAAAAGTCTAGCTTTTCAATTTATCGTGAGGAATAAATGTATAAAGGGTAGAAAATTAAGTCGTCAATTTTGATACTATAGACTTTTGAAAAATAAATAGTGATATTAAAGTTTCATAGAGTTCATAAAAATGGGTTTCTACATATGATTTACTCCACCTTTACGTCTGAAGATTCTCTTTTACAGCAACTGATTTTTTTTGAATGGAGTAAAGATAAGATTAGAGCATATGATGGACAAAGCAATGTATCTTTGTTTATAAGTATTTTCATGAGATTGAGGAATCCAGTACACGCAAGTGAGTTAAGGCTAAGTATAGACTTTTCTATGCAAATGAACTAATTAAAACGCATAAGGGCTATACTTATTATATAGAAAAGGTTAAAACTTATTTTCTAATGCAAACTTGGTACCCGAGACAAGTGAAAGCCAGAACACATTATGACGTCATATTATGACGTCATTGCTCTCTACTACACAAAGTTATAAAGAACATCAACAAAAAAGCTTCGGCGCATGGATATACCCTATTTATTTTTACAGATACAGGGTCTAATTAGAAGGATAATATTCCAAGGATTTGTGATATTGATGCACAAATATTGACAGATCAGATGGTTAGTTACTATTTGTAAAGTTTGGAGTTGAAACGGGGTAAAAATTCACAGTCCGGTATAAGTTTCCACAAATTCTTATCAAACGAGAGAGTGCATAGGATTTGTGCAGCACTTTTATTAATCTTTAGAATATTCTTCGTAGAATTATACATTATTTACTTAAAATTAAATAGGACATGCCCTTGCGCCAAAGCTGTTTCTTGATTTGTTTTATTACTTTGAGCACTAAAGAATAATGACGTCATAATATGACGTCATAATGTGCACTAGCTATAACATGCCTTGGGAACTAATTATGTGTAAGAAAATGAATTGAAGTTTTCTCTGTATGATAAATATACCTTTTTTGCATTTTTATTAGCTCATTTTCATAGAAACGCCTCTACCTAGCTTTAACTCACTTGCGCAGGTACGGTAGATCGAACTCATCATGGTTGACTGGTATATTAAAAGTATTAAACACTGAAATGCCATTTTGAATAATTTCTTTCTTGGAAAGTGAACTGTGAATATATGTTGGATTTCCAGTCGTAGAATTAAAATCAAGTTCTTCCAAAATACAGTTCAAATAATAAAAATTACAAACAGTAATTGATACAAACTATCCTCCCATTTGGCATAATTTTCATATCCAGCTGCATCCAATTTTTGGCGTTATATTTCGAATTTTCATAGTTGTTACCTAGTATATGCACCATTTATTGATAAACTCCCCTTTACAAGGACTTCTAAAACTTAAGATAATATTTTTTTAAATTCATGTACTCTTGATATGGAATGTCAAATGCGTCTCAGGATGAAATTTTCGTATTTTTGTTCGATGATGGGAATAATTATCATTAAAACTGGACGACGTGACCTAAATGTGCTAAAACAACGTGAGCTCAAAACTTATGCGATGCTGTAAGCTAGAATCATAGGATTTACCATTGATAGAATATAAATTTTCTTGGTTTCCTTTTTACATTTTTGTACGATTTTGTATCATTCAATTTATGTTATCAACAGAAGGTTTATCTTTGCAAGTCGTATTCATCAGAAATTCACGTTCACAAGGATGATACTGCAATTATTACATGATTATGATTGAAATGCAGAGGAAAAAAGAAAAAAAAAAAATGTGTCTAACGTTTCTACAAACATATATTTTTCTGATCTGTATGAAACACATCATATAAGTCAGTTAATATATTTTTGATTCATTACAAACAGTGAATCTTGATAAATAAGAGTATAACTAAGATACTTATCTTTTGGTTACAACTTTACAAAATTGTTCATGCATTGTGTTAAATTTGAATTACTGATCTGAAACGAAACGTACTTTAAATCTGTGGGGTAGGAGTACTTGCAATTTAATAAAGGCAATTTGAAAATATTTTATTGTCATTTAACCATTCCGAAGTTTTATTGATATCACATTTTACCTCATTATCTAAAAGTACATTTTGCTTCTCCTAGGAAAAAGAAAATCTTTGAAGTAAAGAAATACACGGAAAATTATTCTATAAAAGCGTAGCATTGTTAAATGCTATGTTCTTTATGTAATATGTGAAAAGGTAACAGGGCATATTTATAGGAAGAGGAAAGGAAGACAAAGTTTATCTTACATCAAGACAATGTTTTCGGTAAAGGAAGATAGTAAGATAGGTATGAGAGCTCTACGACTGTAAAATATCAGTTTTACGTTTTGAAAAAGCATCAAGATTAACATGGATTATGCTTGTTAAATATTTTAGCTAATTTTATAGATGTCAATATATTTGCTTCGAAAATTTATTATATATTCTTTTACTAATGTAGGTGGGAAGAATTATAAAGGTGGAGTACAAAAACTAACGGTTGTTTCTTTACTACTTGGAGTATTTCTGACAGTTGCTATGATAGCTTTTATAACGATTTTGCTCATACATCTTAAAGGTAAGAATCTAATAAGTATGTGACCATAAAGTATACCAAGAAATTAAACTTGAAAACGGATTTTGGAATAGGATGCATTTCCAAACCAATAGGCACTTTATAAAACATTAGATTACGTATAATTTTCTTTCTGCCTTCAATCATTTTTCGTTAAAACACATGAGGTTTGCACTATGTTCTCTGGATGTAATTACTAAGGAATGGTAACGTTATTTTATAAAAATCAAGTAATTAAAAGCATTTAAACATTTTTTTTCTCAAACAGATTAAAGCATGGTAAATTGTAAAAGTTTTTTGTCTCTGAAATTTAAAATTTTTTTGGAGCTAAGAGTCTTAGATTTATTCAATAGAAAGCAATTTGGATATTTGAATTATTATATCAAAATAATTTTGTAGAATCGTACATAACGTATAAGTATGTTCCATTATTTACTGAAGTCATTAAGTGCAATATATATACAGTATCAGAAATAAATAAATAAATAAATTAATTAAACAGTTTAATTTTATGTGAATGGATATTCCGCTTTTTGTATTAATAATAAATTGTATATCGAACTTATGCCGAGTGACGTCAATTGCCTGAGTAATCACTTGCATCAGCAGTATATCAAGTGACAGGTTAGAATAAAAAAATACGGAAAGCTACAAAGAGGTTTACGGATATTGTTATTATTTGCTCTTGAATTGATTGTTTCTTTCGAGACACGTTCATTAATATGAAAAGTGCTGGTAGCAAGTTTCCCATGCTCGGCAACTATATAAAATATATATCTGTCTTTCTATAATCTTTGCAAAAAGAGGTAGTAATGTTTCTCAAACAAAGTTTGGAACAAATTGTTTTTCCTTTCTTTCCTTATTATTGAGGTGTCTCCCTCTTCTGTATTGAGGTCTTTCGTCTCCATTTTGATTACTTAATGTCCGAACGACTATATATCGGAGTAGTTTTACGATAAAATACTTATGAAAATAAATTGTGGAGCGATCATATAAAAGTTTTGCCTAATTTAATGAAACTTGTAGGGAATAGGGTACCATAAGAGAGTGTCGTTTGGGGGAACATCTGTGGCAGTTCCTGTTACAACTGGCACTAGTGTGCATTGAAAAAAGTTAATTATATGATAAATGAACACCACACAAATAGCTATAGCTTCCGCCACTTTTCAAAGTAGTAGAGATAATAACTACGAATGTTTTAAAACCCGGAATCTCTAATAAAGGAAATATCAATGAACTTTTATGATTATTAAGGGGACTTCCAGTCATTTTAGTACATTGCTGTTGAAGTGTATCTCATTACTACTGATAAGGTCTCTACATTATCTATTCAGCTCAAATAAAAATATAGATTATAGATAAATGTATTTAAAAATGTCACAGCCCTAGTCAGATCATACTTGTTTCGTATTAATTTTATATTTACAAGCTACAATATTATATGTCGCGTGAACTACGCCTTCGCTTAAAACAAAATACTTGTGTCAAGTAATGCACGGACGTCATTTCACTTAGTACAGTAAAATCAAGTTAGCTTTTATTCTATATTTTGTTAAATTTCATTAAAGCAAGATAATGTGTAGCTCAGTTTATATTCACGTCGTTTAGGCAAAAACCCATGTTTTTGAGGTTTTAAAAAAATCAACGTTTGTAATAAATCATACTGGTTCATTTGTATTGCGTTAATGTTACGTCAAAATGAAAACGAACAGGGATCATGTAAAAAAAAAACTACAAAAGTAATGAAAAATTGTGAAATGGAGCATGAACAAGAGTCTCCTGAAATTTCAGACGTAGGATCAGGTGCCGATGATGAGTAAGCATCCACTGTTGATCGGTCATACCAGCCGTTTGCGTAAACCCTGTGTATTAATTAGACAAAATTTTCCATAGTTAAATTTAGCATGAAAAGAAGAAAAAACAATTGGCATAAAACATGTCAGTAATTGAAAGGTTAAATTTGCTAACAGGTCAGTTAAATAACAAAACAATGTTTGATCATACATGTACTTGCTAACAAGGTCATTACAACGACCATAGAATTTAAAAATGTTGATTTTAAACAAAGTTTTTGAAATCTCTGTAACATCAGCTGATCTGGTTGTAGCCTGCCTTGATTTTAATGCTTATAAAATTGATGGTAAGGGTTTGAAGTCGTACTGAGGTGTACACATTTCGTTAGTTTACACAAAGATGGTGCAATAGAACAGGCAGCACTTGTCTAAGTTTTTCAGCAGGGACAGTACAACAGTTCAGTAATTGTCTAAGTTTATCAGCACAGACTAAGACCCAATAAAAAGGCCACTAATTGTCTAAGTTCTGCAGTAAAGACAGCACATAGTCAGTAATTGTCTAAGTTTGTCAGTAAAAAATGGGAATGTCAGTACATTTCTGACTTAATAGTCACAGTGTACGTATGAGCAATTTTTAAAACGAGGTAAGTTATTGACAGACAAGTTCCTGAAACAAAAATATCAACAGTCTCGTTTAAAGTCATCATTTCGTAAGTTCTATGGTCGATACAATGGCCTTGTTAACAATTACAATTTATCAATAAGTCAAATGTTGACTGACGTTTTTCATACTAATTGTTAGGCCATTATATACACACTGAATTGTCGACTGATTTTTCCGTTATTTCCCGATCATGACAAGGAGCACACGGCGGGTGTGACCGGTAGGCAGGGGATGCTCACTCCTCCATGGCACCTGATTCCATCTCTGATGTTTTGGAGGTCCGAGATTGCTCCGCTCCTATATTTTGTATTGTTTAATGGACTTTTGAGCTTGAATACTGTTCGTTGTCTCCATACATTTCATAGACAGTTAAAAGTGAACCATGTATAAATCTAATTTTTTTACAGTAGGTTCTTCAGTTTAATTTCATAACCTTATCATACAGATGTAATTCCTCTTGCTATTGTTGTTTGGGGGGGGGGGGGGCATTAGCATTTGACACTTTTTGAAACTAAGGGATGTTAAGAAAGTTCATTCCATAATGAAATATTTTTGAAAATTTCAAATTCGTTCGTAAGATTAATTTTACAGTCTGACAAAATCACAAAATTGTACTTTCTATTTAGAAGAATTAATTTCTAGCAGGAAGTTATAGGATTTTTTCCATACGAAAATATATATAAACATCTTTAAAACACCCAAATTACAGAACTGCTAGTCATTTTTCGTGAAATTTTAGGATTATTTACTTTTGTTTCTTCATAGCTTATCTTGTTTCATACAAAACTGAAGAACTTAGGTTAAAGAAAGATTTATCACTTTTCAAGAGAATGGGTTTGTCATACTGGAATTCCATACTGACGTGATAAATTTTGCATAGGTATTTGAAAGGATATATCGACCTGTGTGCTTAAGATATTTCACTAATATGCTGCATCCTTCATTTTTCTGCACAGACGTCATCTCTTTTCAATACATGTCCTCCGTTTTTCGTTTTCTACAAAACATGGCTTAAACCTTATCAGTAGCAAGAATGGACTCTATGAACATGAAATATCATACATTTTAAATATCTTCTCTTTGTATTTCTTTTCGAAAATGAAAGAAAAACATGGAATAAACTTTCTTAACACCCTTTACACCCTGGTATGAACTTATGAATTATGAATTTCTTCCTCTCAAGTTTCAAGTTTTTATTTAAGACAAAGACCCCAACTGGGGTATATGAATGCAAATGATACAAAAATTTATAAGCATGAATGAGTGGCTCTGGTACTAATTTAGAGCCTTGTTTGCTAGAGTTATATATAGTTATATATATATATATATATATATATATATATATATATATATATATATATATATATATATATATATATATATATATATATAGTCTGACATTCTTATGTATGTTTTCTAGATTTGAGAAAACTTACCAATTGATATTTTTTAAAGTTTCTTACTTAAACCCTATTAGCACATTGAGTTTATGATTTTTGTACAACTTTTAAAAATTAGTTCATACAGTTGATGTATGTGTCAGCCATGATTGCCAGAATGGAGTTTGTGAAGCTGACCAGATTAGAGTACGAGGCTACACCTGTAACTGCACGCTTGGTTACGTCGGGGACAATTGTCAAGGTAAACTCCTATTACTATCTGTGCAATGGTCCCGAACAAACTAACATAACGTTCAATATGTTGGCGTATCCGTTGCGCATTGATAGACAGTTTTATAATTCATTAACCATAACAGGCAAAGAACTGGTACACATTTAGGGGTTGTGACTTTAATTATTGTTGGAAACATGTGCAAGAATGTTCAATAAAGCTGAAACTACAAATCTATGGGAAAATGTTATATATTATGATTTTATATAAAATTAATAGTTTTAAGAAATTGACTCTAACGACATGTTGTTCATGACATGTTGTTAAATGAAAACCCTTTATCTGAGCTTAAGTCCACAAAATATTCGGAAGTAGGCTATGTTTATCACAGTGTCAATCTCTGAACTAGAAAGATAAGACGTCATAATGAAAAAATGACGTCAGGCCACTGCATTCTTAAGCTGTCCTATCGGGGATAGTGACATAAAGTGTTCTTTTTTAATCAAGATGTTAAATCCACATGTTTTCACTGTTACGTTATGTCTCAAGTGTGTATTAATTAATGAATTTTTAAATTCTAATATACAATTATGGACTCTTTCTCTCGTCGTATCGTCTCCATACAAAAATTTTTCTATTGTTTCCAAGTATAATGTTTGTCTCGTCACTAAATGTAACTGATAACTTGTTCTCAACAGTCCAGTTTAATTTGTACAAAATGTTTTGTACAAAATGTAACCCTTTTTGCACGGTTAACGCGAGAAACCGTAATGGTTTTGGAAATGGGATGACGTTTGTAACAATGTTCAAACAATCTTCAACTTATTGTTCGTGAAGATACTTGGCATTGTGTTCTTTCATTAATCTACTCGTAAGATCTTTCAGAGTATGTCTTTTATTCCCTTTCACACTTCGAAGAAGCACCCTGTCATCCCGTGCAGTTGTTTTTCTAGCACCCCCCACTTCTCGGCATGTTTTTTGCATTCCCTCGATCTCGTACCCTCTTAAAAAATTTCTGTATTGTTCGGCAATTAATTCCAGTCAAATTCTGAATTTTATAACTCGAATTACCCGCAGAAGATAAATTAATTATGATTTCTTTCTAATCGGGTGTCAGACAGACGATAAAATTATTTAACAAAGGGGAATAACTCAATAAAGAATAAGATATGGTTAAAAGAACTGAAAATTAATTATTTCGGATATAATTGGATAGCATATGTCAAATATTAACGCAGAAATACATCATTGAAAATTGAAGCGAGAACCCGAAGCTATAACGACGACGCCATTTTGCGAAATCATTCATGTCACACTACTGTAGACAATCCTGCCACCAATAATTATCAATAATTGTATGACGATCAATTCCATGCTAAGATATTTACATTTGCCAATGTCTTTCGTTATATGACAATACTACAAAAATGATATTCAATTTGCTATGAAATGAATTTGCTCACGTGAAAAGAAAAACTTGCTTGCTTATGAATACAAATCACCGCTTCAGAAGTATTTGAGTCAATGGTACTACTTTCACCTGATTTCTTGCTTACGCAACATCATCAAAGCAAGAACAAAAATAAAAACAAACCTGAAGTGATTTAAATAGAGTTTATTTTATGAGGAGACAAGAATTTCATCAATTCATAAAATTTATGAAACATTTAACATACCATTTTGATGTTTTTATTTAAATATCGTCTGCAACTAAATTGCATCTTCTGCAACGGCAAATGACTTTGATATAGTAAGTGAAAAAATGGAAGCAGAGCTATATTTACTTTATGATGATGATATTCTGGTTTCTTTGGATCTCTCTTCTTTGGCACCTGAAAGTGAACAAGACACTGAAACTAAAACCGTATGATATGGATTGCCTTCCTCAACCTGAGACCCCTGTCTGTGTCCCTGCGTCCAATCAGAACCAACGAGATTCAGATCTATCTCAGATATTGAGTTAAAGCAGTTCAGAATGCCAGACATTCTAAATCTACTAAAAGAAAACACAAAGTGTGGAATTCAACTGCTTCAAGGTAAAACAAATAAAAGATTAACAAGCAAAAAAAAAAAAAAAAAAAATAAATAAATAAATAAATAAATAAATAAATAAAAAAAAAAATAAAATAAATAAATAAATAAATAAACTAATTCAGAAAATTAGAACTATAAACATGATAATAAAAAATGCTTATTTGCAACTACAAATCATACCTAAAAAATTAAAGTTAATTTAAAAAATCTCAAATTAAATCATATTTTAAAAAAAAAGCTAGAAATAAAAAAAAACAACAAACAAATTTTACATTATTTTAGATTGACATGTGGAGGTTTTTGGTACCCCAATGGATTTCGAAACAGTAGAAACTAATGAACTTGCTAACAAACTAAGAAAATTCTTCTGTGAGCCAAAACCAAAAGATTTAAATAAATCAAAATATATGATGGAATATTACCACAAAAGCACACAAATATCAGATCAGCAATTGACCGCCATCTGCAGGACAGGCCGTGTCATAAACATTGTACGAGATAAGGAGTTTAAGTCCTCCAACCATACCTTAGACGGAATGTTGAAAACTATGACTAAAATTGCCGCTTCGAGGCCCACTAAACACGAAGAGATTATAAATTCTTAAGATCTTCATAAGATATCCTCATATCTGCGAGCAGCCTCTTGTTCTCCTCTTGTTCTTCGACATTGTGTTTGGTGTCACCTATCCATCCATGTTGAAACGCGCGACTTGGAATTCCATCACCAGCTGCGTTGTGATTTCTTTGAGTTCCATACTGATTAGACTTGTTTTGAGTATATTACACTGAGGCAGGAAACTCAGCAAAAGAATTTCAGGCTGGCATAGAATCAGAGGAAGCTCGAAGAGACAAGAGGATGTATTCGTCAGTTGAAAGTGAGACATTCCCAGTAAAAATGTTATGTTTGCTGCTGTATAAAACAGACAAAATGAATCTTTTCTATTCCACACCTACATGAAAGTGACTCTTACCTTCTCAGCGTCACGCATAGCAGTATTGTATGCAGCAAAACCCCTAAGTAAGGGGACATTCAGTGGATATATGGCGAATATATCTATATCAGCTAAATGTTCTATTGTTTACACACCCCACCTTCAGCGGGTAAATTCCATTACAGCTATGGACGAGGCTGGTTTCGAGGCTCTACAAATTATGTTTATGTCAGGCCAAGCTGTGAATCTTCTTTGGAATCCTACAATAAAAATCTTTCCAGTGAACAAAAACTCTATCTCAGTTCATGTCTATCACCCTAAAGATCAGCGAAAGCAACCTACCTCCACTATGACTAAATCTGTCAATGTGAATGCCACAGCCACGAGTCCTGGTGATGAACATGCCATTGTACATTTCCAAAAAGTGGAAAATCATGACCAAGAGCTTAATGTCAACTTGATTCATCCATCCTTTGTCAATTCTCTCAGATCCTCTGAGTTTCTGTCCAAATCTGTGTTCAACAACTGCGTTTTCAACTTCAAGTAGACCAACTGTTTTCTCCCATTTTTGAACTGACTGACCGAATCACAACCCGGATGTAGTTTACTCCGCTAATCTTTTATTTAATTGAGTTGACTCAAATATCTTAATAACTATTATTTCACAACTATTTTATCTTCTTAGTTACTTCAAAATTAAATATTTGCATCTGATATTGTCTTATATCAATGTTGTTCTCATCTATTTATTCAATAAAAATCTAACGAACTATATGTTGTGGTGTCCGATCGTTATTTAGGTCATTTGCTTCAAAAGTATGGAAAATCGATAAAGACATAAATGAAAAAAAAGAAATATAAAAATAAAAAAATAAAATATCATTTTTGTTGTTTCACTGGGATTTGACATGAAGTCGGTACGTGATCAAATATACTATAACGCAATTTGGGCGTTATAGGATTTGATAACGAGACTGACTTCATGTTACATCCCAATGAAACTCTAAAAATGATATCTTATTTCTTAAATGATACCTTGTTGTCATTTCGATTTATCAATAAAATTGAAATTTTTATTCTACTTTAATTTTGTGCTATTTAAGCACCATGAGTTATAATTTTAGACAAAATATAAATATTTGTTCATATAGTTTATGTATGTGACAACCATGATTGTCAGAATGGGATTTGTGTGGCAGACCAATCCACAATAAGAGGATACACGTGTAACTGTACCATTGGCTTTGTTGGGAACAATTGTAAAGGTAAATTGTCTGTAACTTTCATTGCAATAAGCTTCAAGCTTACTTTCATGAACCTCAAACTTATTCTAGTGTAAATTAAAGATGATCGATACCGTTACATTATTATTATCTATTGAGCACAGTAGTCTGACTCAGAAAGGTAGCGTAGCAGTTGTTTTTTACAACGCAAAATTTACTGAATATCGTTGTCTATTTCCTAAATAATCTAGGTAATTAATATTTCATTGCACAGTTCATAAATACCTTAGTTGTAAAATAGCATTGCATTTACTTTAAAATTCACTCATTTTACTCATGCGTAAGTCACGTGATTTTTTAAGCTACGAAAGGTGCTTTCCAATTATCCGACATCCTTTACATTTTACTTGTGTTACGGTGTGATAAAAGAGTTAAAAAGTATATCATTCTTATTCTTAAAGACGAGAAAAATAGTTTTAGATGAGGGCATCTCCGTCAATGCTCTAAAATGGCTGTTCCAGAAATCAACACAATAATATTTTCTTCAATAATCATTTCTTAATGTAAATATTGTGTACCATACTATTTGTGTAAAAAAATCTTTTTAAAACTACTAAGTTGTAAATTGTTTTATATTAAATTGTATGCAAAAATAGCAATCTTAAAGGACAATAGAAAAGTGCCTATCAGGTTTTGATCAAACAGAACCAATTTAGTCGAAGCGTGTTGTTTTCCTGACTTTGTGGAAATAAAAAAAGACAATATGGACAAATCTGCCACCAATAATTATCAAAAATTATATGAGAATCGATTTCATGCTGAAATGAAACTTCATTTCGATTCATAAATCAAGTTAAACTTTTTAATTATTTTTTTTTATGGTGTACTTTGTTCACCAGATAACAAGTCATAATTTAAATCTCCAATGAACATGAATTTGTCAAATTTGATTGATATTTCGTCATAACTTTTCACAAATTCATGAGAAAATTCACTGTCAGACATAGAGGGGGTCGATATAGACCGACTATTAACCATTCTCTAATTCCAATCACACCTTCAGTACACAGAGATTCAATATATTCAAATTTAAGATTACTCCTTCTGTCACCAGCTATGTCTGACCTAATATACATTGCCAAACCCCCTCCGTACTTATTCCCAGTCTTTTCTTCAAAAAATGGTTATTATCTGCTTTAAATTGTACGTCTGAGAATGAATCACCCAGTTTAGTTTCAGCAATACCTAGCATGTCAACAATGTTTTGATCGAGTAGACTTTTGATTGAACCGAATTTATAACGTAAGCTATTGATGTTTAAATCAGCACATATTTATTTGGATGTGTTTTCCTTACTTGAAACAACTCTTCGAGTATGTCATCGTTTTTCTCTCCCTTAGTATTTACGCCAGATTTTGATCCAACGCAAGAGCAATAACTGTTATCAGTATGGTTGCTACAGCTAAATACACCAATCAGCTTCATATCCCTATATGTAAAGTCATCGGAATCAAGATAATGATGAAAATATCTTTGATAATAATGCATGGAGGACAAACCCAAAATGAATGATCAAGTTCAATTTGAGCATTCCCAATGACATTTTCTTCAATTATGATTTCTTTATGTAATTAATGAGTACTATAATATTTGTGCAAAAAATACAATTAAAACGGCTTAGTTGTAAATGGTTTTGTATGAATTTTTTAAAAAAAAAATAGCCGTCTTAAAGGAAAATAAAAAAGTACCTATCTTGTTTTTGATACAACAGTACCAATTAAGTCAAAGTGTGTTGTTTCACACTTTGTCTTTAAAAAAAAAATGGACAAAGTTGCCACCAATAATTATCAAGAATTATGTGAGAATCAATTCCATGCTGAAATCATACGTTGTCGTCGTTTCGATTTATAAATCAAGATGAAATTGGTAATTTACTTTTTATTATGCTATTTTAGCACCATGAATAAAAATGTAAGACATAATTAAATATTATTCATATAGATAAGGTATGTGATAGCAATGATTGTCAGAATGGGATTTGTGTGGCAGACCAATCCACAATAAGAGGATACACGTGTAACTGTACCACTGGCTTCGTTGGGGACAATTGTCGAGGTAAATTGTCTATAACATTCATTGCAACAAGCCTCAAGCTTACTTTCATGAACTTCAAACTTATTCTAGTGTAAATGAAAGATTATCGATACCGTTACATTATTATTATCTATTGAGCACAGCAGTCTGACTCAGTAAGGTAGTGTAAGTATATTATGGATTTAATAATTGTTGAAAACAAGTGCAGGATACAAATATACTCCGAAGCTACTAGCGCTCATCATGGAAAATGGCGGAAGAGCAGTTGTTATTTATAACGCAAAATTTACTGAATATCGTTTTCTATTTCTTAAATTATCTAGGTAACCAATATTTCATTGCACAGTTCATCAATGTCTTAGTTGTAAAATAGCATTGATTTACTTTAAAATTGGTCATTCTTTTTTATCGGGATAATAAAACAGTAAAAAAATAATACCGAGGGAGTTGCAGTTTCAAGAGCAGGCTCATTTACCGAAGCACCCTTTGGAATATTCCAGACTCCTTCGATAATATACTTTCACTGTGTTTAATTTTCTACTGATTTTCCCCATATAAAATAAGATGGTAATATGAGAATGATTTCTTAGAAATCGTTGAAAATAGATTCTCCTCTGATTTGCCATAAGTTAGTCATCTGATCTTTTCTATGCTTTGAAAGGTGCTTCCGAATTATCAGATATCTTTTAGATTTTTTTTTTGGTTACGGTGTGATAAAACAGTTAAAAAGTATATCATTCTTATTCTGAAAGACGAGAAAAATAGTTTTGAATGTAGGCATCTCCCTCATTGATCTAAAATGGCTGTTTTAGAAATCGACACAATGACATTTTCAACAATTATGATATCTTGATGTGAATGTTTTGTGTTATTATATTTGTGTAAAAAATCTTTTTAAAACTACTTAGTTGTAAATTGTTTTATATTAAAATTTATACAAAAATAGGAATCTTAAAGGAACATAAAAAGTGCTTATCATGTTTTTGATCCAATACTACCAAATTAGTAATGTTTTACTGACTTTGTGGTAATAAAGAAAAGACAATATGGACAAAGCTGCCACCAATAATTATCAAGAATTATGTGAGAATCAATTCCATGCTGAAATCATACGTTGTCGTCGTTTCGATGTATAAATCAAGTTGAAATTGGTAATTTACTTTTTATTATGCTATTTTAGCACCATGAATAAAAATGTAAGACATAATTAAATATTATTCATATAGATAAGGTATGTGATAGCAATGATTGTCAGAATGGGATTTGTGTGGCAGACCAATCCACAATAAGAGGATACACGTGTAACTGTACCACTGGCTTCGTTGGGGACAATTGTCGAGGTAAATTGTCTATAACATTCATTGCAACAAGCCTCAAGCTTACTTTCATGAACTTCAAACTTATTCTAGTGTAAATGAAAGATTATCGATACCGTTACATTATTATTATCTATTGAGCACAGCAGTCTGACTCAGTAAGGTAGTGTAAGTATATTATGGATTTAATAATTGTTGAAAACAAGTGCAGGATACAAATATACTCCGAAGCTACTAGCGCTCATCATGGAAAATGGCGGAAGAGCAGTTGTTATTTATAACGCAAAATTTACTGAATATCGTTTTCTATTTCTTAAATTATCTAGGTAACCAATATTTCATTGCACAGTTCATCAATGTCTTAGTTGTAAAATAGCATTGATTTACTTTAAAATTGGTCATTCTTTTTTATCGGGATAATAAAACAGTAAAAAAATAATACCGAGGGAGTTGCAGTTTCAAGAGCAGGCTCATTTACCGAAGCACCCTTTGGAATATTCCAGACTCCTTCGATAATATACTTTCACTGTGTTTAATTTTCTACTGATTTTCCCCATATAAAATAAGATGGTAATATGAGAATGATTTCTTAGAAATCGTTGAAAATAGATTCTCCTCTGATTTGCCATAAGTTAGTCATCTGATCTTTTCTATGCTTTGAAAGGTGCTTCCGAATTATCAGATATCTTTTAGATTTTTTTTTTGGTTACGGTGTGATAAAACAGTTAAAAAGTATATCATTCTTATTCTGAAAGACGAGAAAAATAGTTTTGAATGTAGGCATCTCCCTCATTGATCTAAAATGGCTGTTTTAGAAATCGACACAATGACATTTTCAACAATTATGATATCTTGATGTGAATGTTTTGTGTTATTATATTTGTGTAAAAAATCTTTTTAAAACTACTTAGTTGTAAATTGTTTTATATTAAAATTTATACAAAAATAGGAATCTTAAAGGAACATAAAAAGTGCTTATCATGTTTTTGATCCAATACTACCAAATTAGTAATGTTTTACTGACTTTGTGGTAATAAAGAAAAGACAATATGGACAAAGCTGCCACCAATAATTATCAAGAATTATGTGAGAATCAATTCCATGCTGAAATCATACGTTGTCGTCGTTTCGATGTATAAATCAAGTTGAAATTGGTAATTTACTTTTTATTATGCTATTTTAGCACCATGAATAAAAATGTAAGACATAATTAAATATTATTCATATAGATAAGGTATGTGATAGCAATGATTGTCAGAATGGGATTTGTGTGGCAGACCAATCCACAATAAGAGGATACACGTGTAACTGTACCACTGGCTTCGTTGGGGACAATTGTCGAGGTAAATTGTCTATAACATTCATTGCAACAAGCCTCAAGCTTACTTTCATGAACCTCAAACTTATTCTAGTGTAAATGAAAGATTATCGATACCGTTACATTATTATTATCTATTGAGCACAGCAGTCTGACTCAGTAAGGTAGTGTAAATATATTATGGATTTAATAATTGTTGAAAACAAGTGCAGGATACAAATATACTCCGAAGCTACTAGCGCTCATCATGGAAAATGGCGGAAGAGCAGTTGTTATTTATAACGCAAAATTTACTGAATATCGTTTTCTATTTCTTTAATTATCTAGGTAACCAATATTTCATTGCACAGTTCATCAATGTCTTAGTTGTAAAATAGCATTGATTTACTTTAAAATTGGTCATTCTTTTTTATCGGGATAATAAAACAGTAAAAAAATAATACCGAGGGAGTTGCAGTTTCAAGAGCAGGCTCATTTACCGAAGCACCCTTTGGAATATTCCAGACTCCTTCGATAATATACTTTCACTGTGTTTAATTTTCTACTGATTTTCCCCATATAAAATAAGATGGTAATATGAGAATGATTTCTTAGAAATCGTTGAAAATAGATTCTCCTCTGATTTGCCATAAGTTAGTCATCTGATCTTTTCTATGCTTTGAAAGGTGCTTCCGAATTATCAGATATCTTTTAGATTTTTTTTTTGGTTACGGTGTGATAAAACAGTTAAAAAGTATATCATTCTTATTCTGAAAGACGAGAAAAATAGTTTTGAATGTAGGCATCTCCCTCATTGATCTAAAATGGCTATTTTAGAAATCGACACAATGACATTTTCAACAATTATGATATCTTGATGTGAATGTTTTGTGTTATTATATTTGTGTAAAAAATCATTTTAAAACTACTTAGTTGTAAATTGTTTTATATTAAAATTTATACAAAAATAGGAATCTTAAAGGAACATAAAAAGTGCTTATCATGTTTTTGATCCAATACTACCAAATTAGTAATGTTTTACTGACTTTGTGGTAATAAAGAAAAGACAATATGGACAAAGCTGCCACCAATAATTATCAAGAATTATGTGAGAATCAATTCCATGCTGAAATCATACGTTGTCGTCGTTTCGATGTATAAATCAAGTTGAAATTGGTAATTTACTTTTTATTATGCTATTTTAGCACCATGAATAAAAATGTAAGACATAATTAAATATTATTCATATAGATAAGGTATGTGATAGCAATGATTGTCAGAATGGGATTTGTGTGGCAGACCAATCCACAATAAGAGGATACACGTGTTACTGTACCACTGGCTTTGTTGGGGACAATTGTCAAGGTAAATTGTTTATAACTTCATTTCAACAAGCCTCAAGCTTACTTTCGTGAACTTCAAACTTGTTCTAGTGTCAAAGATTATCGATATAATTAATATTATTATTATCAATTGACCAAAGCAGTCTGACTCGGAAAGGTAGTGTAGGTATTATGGACTTAATAATTGGTGAAAACAAGTGCAGGATACAAATATACTCTGAAGCTACTAGCGCTCATCATGGAAAATGGCGGAAGAGCAGTTGTTATTTATAACGCAAAATTTACTGAATATTGTTTTCTATTTCTTAAATTATCTAGGTAACCAATATTTCATTGCACAGTTCATCAATGTCTTAGTTGTAAAATAGCATTGCATTTATTTAAAATTGGTCATTTTTTTTATCGGGATAATAAAACAGTAAAAAAATAGTACCGAGGGAGTTGCAGTTTCAAGAGCAGGCTCATTTACCGAAGCAACCTTTGGAATATTCCAGACTCCTTCGATAATATACTTTCACTGTGTTTAATTTTCTACTGATTTTCTCCATATAAAATAAGATGGCAATATGAGAATGATTTCTTAGAAATCGTTGTAAATAGATTCTCCTCTGATTTGCCATAAGTAAGTCACCTGATCTTTTCTATGCTATGAAAGGTGCTTCCAAATTATCAGATGTCTTTATACCCGCACTTTCTAAAGAAAGTTTGGGTATATTGTTGTTACTCATGTCTGTCCGTCCGTCTGTCACACTCTTCTTTCTCAAACTCCTATTACATTTTACACAGTAGCCTAATCATCTTTTGGGAGATGGTTTGTGGTGTCATGTAGATGTGCAGTAAGGTTTCGGAATTTTCATTTTCACCCTGGGGGTCAAATGGGGGTCGAAAAATGACGTTTTTTTATGCAAAAAGCCCCTGGTTCCCTGAACTCCTCTTACATTTTACACAGTAGCCTAATCATCTTTTGGGAGATGGTTGGTGGTGTCCTGTAGATATGCAGTAAGGTTTCGAAATTTTCATTTTCATCCTGGGGGTCAAATGGGGGTCGAAAAATAACGTTTTTTATGCAAAAAGCCCCTGGTTCCCTGAACTCTTCTTACATTTTACACAGTAGCCTAATCATCTTTTGGGAGGTGGTTGGTGGTGTCCTGTAGTTGTGCAGTAAGATTTCGGAATTTTCATTTTCACCCAAGGGGTCAAATGGGGGTCGAAAAATGAAGTTTTTTAATATAAAAAGAACCTGGTTCCCAGAACTCCAACATTTTACACAACAGTCTAATCATCTTTTGGATTGATTATGATTGATTATTATTGTTTAATGCCTAGGCGGCAATATTTCAGCCATATTTCGGCGATCAAATTAAGTGTATATTTCCATTTATGAATTTTGACACAAATTTAAGAAAAGTGAGGTCAAGGTTAAAGGAAAGGTCAAGGTCAAAAAATGTTGATTCAGTTGAATAGCTTACATCAGTATGTACCAACATATGAAGTTTTATTACACTTTCTTGAATGGTATCTTTAAAATTGAGCTAAACTCTAATTTAAGAAAAGTGAGGTCAAGGTCAAAGGAAATGTCAATGTCAAAAAATATTGATGCAGTTGAATAGCTTACATCAGTATGTATCAACGTAAGAAGTTTAATTACACTATTTTGAATGGTATCTTTAAAACTTAGCTAAACACTTATTTAAGAAAAGTGAGGTCAAGGTCAAAGGAAAGGTCAAGGTCAAATAATTTTGACGCAGTTGAATAACTTAGATCAGTACATATCAACGTAAGAAGTTTAATTACACTATCTTGAATGGTATCTTTAAAACTGAGCTAAACACATTTAAGAAAAGTGAGGTCAAGGTTAAAGGAAAGGTCAAGGTCAAAAAATGTTGATGCAGTTACATAACTCTCATCAATATCTATCAGCATGTGAAGTTTGATAAAAATATATTTGATAGTTTCTTTGAAACTGAACTTTAAACAGAGCTAAACACAAAGCTTGACGGAAAGACAGACGGAAGGATGAAAGGACGGAAGACGGACATGACAAACACTATATGCAGTTATGCACCAACCATATTCATGGCGGGGCATAAAAACAAGGTAAAAAATTTTGTTTGCATGCATCCTTTCTCAATACCACCTCTCCATGTTCCAAGATTGAAGTTTTAATGTCAAAAGGTTCTTAAGTTATGGTTTGGAGATATTTTTTTGCAATTTGACCTTGAATGAAGAAAGGAGTCAAGGTCAAAATATTAGTTCAGTGCATCTTTTGTAAATGTCTTTTTTCTATGTTACAAATTTGAAATCCTAATGTCAAAGGGGTCTCAGGTTATAGCCTGGACTATATTTTTATGTAAAGATTGACCTTGACCTTATTGTAAGATCAAGGTAAAAACAAAGTTTGGTGGCCTCAACCCCAATTCCATACCACCTCTCCATGATTCAAGTTTGAAGTCTTAATGTCAAAGGGTTGTCTAGTTAAGGCTCGGACAAAATTTGAATGAAGAAGAAAACTGACAAAAACAATATGTAGACTAGTATAGTCTACTTGTTGCATCAAACCTGTAGGAGGAGAAGTTTTGAAAGAACAAATTTGTTTCTACATTATGTAATGAAACTTTCACATAAGATTCAACTTTTCTTGCCTAGTGGTTCTTGAGAAGGAATGTTTTTCTTACAGTAAAGCATGCTTATAGCGAAACAAGTCTATAACTAGATGCTGTCATGAGACAGTAATACCCGCACTAAGGTGTTTGCCTCTAAATGCACACTCCTTCATATTGGGCTTACCAAGGAAAAAGTCCAAATAATTCTATAATTTACACAGTACATGTATTCGTCAAATCGAGCATAAAATGCTCAGGTGACCATGTGACCCATGAACCTCTTATACGCATTTCATATACTTAATTCATTACCAGTCTGAAATATCAGAATTTAATTAATGTTGTAAATTAGGTTTTAATAAAAAGGGGGGGGGGGGTATAAATTTTTGGCCCATAATTGGAACTTTTTAAATTTATCTTCTCAAAAACAAATAATATTATTTTAGTACAAAGCGTTTTTGATGAATTTATCAAAATGTGCAAACTTTTTTTAGTATTTGATTAGGCAAAAACCTCCTTGAAAAGCCATACCCAATCAATTTATATGTGTCCCCCCCCCCCCAATACACACACACACAATTTGCCTGTTTTTGGAAATATGCTTAGATGGCAAAGTTATGTTAAAACATCGTTTGTTATGATAATTTAAAATTTGTTCTTGTACTGTACATGTATGTGAACACCTTTTTGAAAATTTCTACATCACATAGGGCTTGCGTCACCCTACCAGTACTAGTACTAGTTTTACCATTATCATTTTTAGATTGCACATGCCATGTGACATGGTGCAGTGTTACATGTATATCAGTGGAAATTAATTCATTTTGTGTTTTAATTGGATTATATTTCATGAAGTTGACAGGACCTATGACAGTCGGTAAGTACAAGTTTAAGTATAGATTGGGGTAAAATAAACCGAAATGCAAATGGTTAGGTTAAAGTTTAAAAAGGATCAAAGATCATCGGCAATCTCCTAAGCAGAGTTGTCGTTCCTTTCTCTCTCAGACACTGAATGTATGAGCCGATCGTAGAGAGTGGATCATCGATGCCACAATAGACGAATTTCACATTCTGAAGAGTTATCTCCCGTTGTCGACATTACATTCAGTTACAGGCATAGATCCGGGAATTTTTTTCCGGGGGAGGGGGGGGGGGGTCCACACCTCGGTCCAAAAAAATTCCAGCCCAGAATTTCCTGAGGAGCAAAAAAGAAAAAAAAAACAAAAAACAAACAAACAAAATAAAAACAATGATGGTGGGGTCCATGTTTTTAAAGGGGGAGGGCATCCAAAGTCATTTTTTATTTGCTTCTGTAAATCAGTATCTAGTCCTATTTATATAACTCTGCAAATTCCGGGGGGGGGGGGGGTTCCAATCTCCCTAGCCGCTCCCTGTCCCTGAAATGACAAATGATCATGCGACTCCTAAATAGTAGAAAATTTTTCCATTTGACTATACATAATTTTGTTTCTTGTGTTATTATGTTATGTACATCTAATGGTTTAAGGTTATGAACCCTTGAGGTCATCCCCACTCTCTTGTTCATAATATGACTACATCAAATTAAATAGAAGTGCATCAATGATAAGATTACTTGACATTTCATTCATGAATTTGGGTCAACCTAGAATTAGGAATGAAAATCATTCAAAGAGATGGACCATTAAACTATTTGTATGTATTCACATTTTTTTTTTATGTCAAACCAAAGTATTAGACTAGTTTGCATACATGAACAAACTGGGGTCTGGGAAGGGGAAGGGGCAAGGGGAAGGAGTTATCTCTTTACGTCTTAATTAATTGTTGAAAATTCCTAAAATGAATGTTAACCGACTTGTACGTCTTCATTATTTTTAAGTGGTGGTGTCTCCGTATGAGTGAAAAATTCCCAAGAGGGACATTTAACAACAAACAAACATTAATGACTTAAAAAACACAATATACATGTACATGTTTATTAGTCAATGGATATACTTCTGATCATATCTCTAGTTCTCCCTTGAATCAGAAATGATGATATAAATATTTTAAGAATGATTAAGAGTTGAAAAGGTTGTGCATTTTAAAATTCACTAAGCTCTGTGGTTGAATTAGCTATACCAGTTTAGCTTATTTTGCTACTCAAAGAACCTTGATTAACTATTTTTAATCATACTGTTTTCTGAAATGTGAAGTTTTTTCAACATGGATACAAGTCATACCTTTTCAGCTTCTGAAAACAATTAATGCATGAAAAAAAAAAAACTGCTTTTCAAATACTGTAACTCTTTCCAAGTACTTGGGATCATCAGTTTTTAGCTCACTTGAGTTTTTCTGGTTTTCTGATCACATTTTGTTTGTCATCCATCTGTCCGCCTGTAAACTTTTCACATTTTTGTCTTCTTCACTAGAACCGCCGGGCCAATTTCAACCAACCCAG